CTGGGTGCTGTATGAGTGAGTAGCAAGGAGCAGAATGGCCAGACAATTAGAGGCAGAGAAATTGGGGACAGCGGAGACTGACGTGTAAGGGGATGGAGCAGCAGCTATGTGGGAGAAGGTGGCTAGTAGCTTGGCCACTGTGATCTGAAGAGAACCCAGTCAGGTGTCTATTCTGATGCTGAGGTTAGCCTGGGTGGCTCATGCTCTTGGTTGCCTGGGTTTCTGTACCTCTCCTCTGTTCTTTATCTCTATGGTTTTATAGGATCTGGGTCCCCAGGCAGGGGTGGTGGTAGTAACAATGGAAGATGTCATCTCAGGGCCTGAGGATGTTTTTCTTGACCTCTGTGATACCTCTGTGGTACCCACCCAGCCCACGGTACCCTGGGTTGAGGCTCTCTCTCACTGGAGGTTTTTCTACTTCTTGTTATCTCTGTGAAGAGTCTAGAACACTGTCTCCCTCTGGTGACAACTACCGTTGGCCACAGAGGTCTCCTGCTTAGGGTGCATCACCTGCCACCAGGTGGTGCTGAAGGAGCCAAAGTCAGCTTTGAGCATCCACTCACCTGGGTGGGGTCTGGGGAAGGATGGAGGCTCCAACTACACTGCGGAGTCTCGAGGAACTAGGGCACATCTTCTCCAATGTCTCCTGCTGACAGAGGCAGGAACTGGGGCCCACAGAGGAGGGTTGAGCTCAAGGTTACTTCAAGGAGCAATGAGAGTAAGTGCAGAGCCCAGCATGGAGCTAGGCCAGGCAACATTGTGCCCTATGGCCATGGGATATTGAAGGAGGCAGAAGATATGAGGAGCTCAGAATGAAGGGAAGTTCCCGTGGCGTGGAGATGGCCAGGCTACATTTGCCCAGACTAAATAGGGAGATTGGTTGCCCTTTGCCCATGCAAAGGAGGAACAAAGGCTGCAGTTCACAGGGAGCTTTGCCACATGACCAAGCTCCCTTCCCTTCTCAAGGCCTTACCCGTCTCCTTTGCCCAAGGAGGCAGCTCTCCCATGTTACAGACAGACAATCAGGACACAGGGACATAAAGTGACAGAACTGGGCAGGCACAGCCGAGACTCCTCCGCACCAGCCTAGGAAGGTAGCCTTGGCCTGGGGAGTCTGACCTCCTGGGCTGAGCTGCATTCAGTCAGCTGTGTGCCTCAGGTGAAGTCCCCAGGCCTCTCTCTCCATATGCACATGGGCCCCTCTCAGGGGGAGTCACCCTGCCACCCCTAAGAGCAGTTTAAACAGGACAAGGACAGCCAGTGACTTAAAGAGACCTCGGGGTCAAGGACGGAGCCTTGTAGGACTCATAGACTCAGGAAAGGAAAAGAAAAGCTTGGGCTGGGGGTGGCGTAGGGACTAGGGGGTGGGAGGAGGGAAGGGAAAGGCTTTCAAAGAGAGGATGAGAGAAATGAGTTATTCCAGCATGGGGAGCTTAGAAAAGTCCACTGAATCTTTTAACAACCCTGTCAATTATTCATTTTCTAGGATGCAGGGCCCCTGGTTGGCCTCAGAGCTGCTGTGAGCAGGGCAGAGGGAGGGAGGGAAGAGGAAAGAAAGAGAGGGGGAGGGAAAGAGAGGGCTGATATCAGAAAGAAATGGCAATATACAAAGACAATGGCATGCGTGTGCATACGGGCATGGATGTGTGTGTATGTGTGTGTGTTTGTGTATGTGTGTGTGTACATGTGGGGGGAGGGGAGAAAGAGAGTGAGTAAATGAACAATGGTGGGGTGGAGGGCAGCAGAACAAACCCTGCTTGAGCCTCTGGGTGGAAAAGACACGGACTACCTTGTCTAAAGCCTAGTCCTCTTCCTTCAGGAAGCCTTCCTAGGTCCTCTCTCCTTCTCCCCCCACCCCGCCTTTAGGAAGGTCCTTTGTCTGGATCATATCTCCCTGCTTGTCCATCCTCACATGTTCATTCTTGTCTTCTCTGTGTGGTTGACAGTCTGTGGCTATTTTTTATCTCAAGGGGATTTCCAGTTCTCAGGCCTCCGTCCCCTCTCTTGCCCCCATGGCCTCACTGGGTATAGGACTGGGCACTCATTAGGTTGGGTCATCCTAGGCTTCTGTTGAGTTGGAGATGTCTCATGGGTCTCTGTGAGTGGAATTGGCAGCTCTGAAGACTCAACAGAACTCCTCAGTTTACCCCCTGTGGTGGTGGCATCAGGAGACACCAGCTAGCTTGAGTGAGGTGGCTCAGATGTCAGGGATAAGGACAAGATGCTGGCAAAGTGGGTCTTTGAAGAACTGTCCCTTTCAAAATGGCTCGGGAGTTGAACATTTCCAAAGAAATGTATGTTCCGGGCTGCTCATAAGGGACGCAATTGCTTCCCTTAGCTCTGCCATGGCTCTTACCCTTGACCTCCGTGGTCCCACCCAGCACTGAGCTTTTTACTGCCCTGAAAAAACATGGTCCCTGGAATGACTGCATTAGAGCTAGGTGTCTGGGGATGGGAAGAAATGGCTGGGCTTGGTAGGAGTCCTGGCTGGGGTCTATGTGCTGTGAGGGGCAAGGGGCATTGCACAAAAGGCCACAGACCAGATCCCTTCTACCTGTTCCTCTGTCCCCAAGGAACCCCTTTCCAGAGAATATTCCATTCTCAGTGCTCACAAGTAGACTCAGGAGGGAGCCAGAGAGAAGATGGATTTGAGGCTCTGGGGACTGCACGGCGACACTAGACAGAGAATGAGGCGCCATGGAAGTCAGGTGATGCAGAGAGGCTCAGCCAAGGCCACAGAAGAGAGCAGAGGGGGCCGCTCATTCATCCTTGGGTCACCTCACAACAACTGCTGTGTCACAAGGCTCCCTGCCTCACCTACGGACTCTGCGGATGACACTGCCTGATATAAGTCCCGAGTCACATACCTCATGACTGTCACTGCTGCTCAGGTTCCTCCGGGCTCCTCAGGTATCTGCTGCTATAGATCTGTGCCTTGAAGCACAGGGGCTGTGCCTGTGCTCTGTCCCACAATCATGCCTCCCTGCCCTACGGTGCTGGATGACATCATCTTACATCAGGGTCTATTGCTATGCAGCAACAGTCCTGGGCCCCATGGCTGTCTTCTGTGGCTTGTCACTCTGCCTCTTGGTTACATGAGTTCATCCATTGCTATGTAATTTTCTTTGGTTGCCATGGAACAGTGACCCATGGCTGCACAGCTGCTTGTGATTGGCATGGAACTGTAGCCCGTTGCTACCCAACCACATTCTGTTACTCACAACTGGGTTCTCTTGGCTGTGGGGAAGGTGTGTGGCTGGGCCCTGCCCTCATCTTTCTGAGCTCTGGCCTGTAGGTTTGTAGGAGAGCAGCTGGGATAACATGATGGCAAGGGGGCTGGGGAGAGAGCAGGGGCCGGGAGAGAGTCCTTGTGCTGTGTTGGAGGGCTAAATCAGGCACAGGAAGACAAAAAATAGGTGCAACGAGCCTCACTTTCCACCTTTTTATGTCTCCCATCACATACAAGGGCACAGCATTAAGTTATGTGTGTTTCCCATTGCGCATGAACCAGGTTCTCAGACTTGCTGTCCGCAGCTCAGGCCTTACCAGAGAGTCCCTGCCATTCCCAGCTGTGGGATGGAGCTTGGCACCACTCACTGCTTGCTCACACTACGTCCCGGATGTTCAGGCAGGGTCTACTCTCAGAGGTAGTGTGACTCAGGGTGAACTCTGCCCTCTGAGTAAGGCTGAGGCTTGGTTGGCTCAAGGCAAGGCAGTGGGGTGAGGGCAGAATCTCACCGAAATTCTCTGGTGGTCACCAGGTAGGACCACCTTCCTTCTCCCTCCTTCCCATCTGCCCTTTCCTGGAGTGGCCCTTTCACTTTTTCTCACTGCCCTGGCTTTTGAAAACCAACCTTCTTCCCTATACCACTTTGGATGAGGTTGTGCAGGTTGACAAGAACTGGCTTACCCGTGCTGTCCCGAATCTCCCAGGCCAAGGCCTGTACCTTCATTTTCAATGCAATGGACTGGACTGGAGAAACTCCTGAGCCCTGCTTCTCCACAGGGCAAAGGTGACATGTGTACTAGAAATGTCTCTGAGAGCTGTTGCTTGGACAGGAAGGCTCCTCTCTTGGGGAGGGTACTCTATGTGGGGACCTCCTCTTGGGTACACTCAGCAGGCAGCTGCCTTTTCTACTGTCTGATGGGACATGTTTCAGAAAGGTGCTAAGTGCCAAGGGTAGATGAAGAGACTGTCAGTAGAGAAGGGCAAGTCCTCAGGAGGAGACCTGAGGATTAGATTGGTGGCTTTGCCTAAGTCCTTTCCTTGGGTACTTTGGGGTAGCATTTGCTCGTAGGATCCACTGTAGAGGGCCATAGAAAGCCACACATGAAATCTCTCATGGCCATTGATGGGGGGTGGTGGTGGTGGTGATATCTCCACTGGGGACTTCAGTGGGATTATCTTTTGAGCTTTTGAGTGTTGTGTTCTCTCTCTTTCTCTCTTAGTTTTCAAGACAAGGTTTCTCTCTAGCTTTAGAACCTGTCCTGGAACTAGCTCTTGTAGAACAGTCTGGCCTCAAACTCACAGAGATTCACCTGCCTCTGCCTCCTGAGTGCTGGGATTAAAGGCGTGCACCATCACCACCCAGCTTGAGTGTGTACTCTTTTGTTATTTGTACAAAGAGGTTGAGACTCAAAAGTGACCCATCATGAGGCCAGGTCCCAAGATCAAGACACAGACCGCACCTGAACATAGTATACTGCCTCCTTTATAAGGTACAGTTAGCCTCTTGGGGGGCTTCCCATGGCCTGAGGGACATACTCTGAGTTGCACTTGACTGAGCAGGCATGATAAGAATTTCTCAGAGCCCACCTAAAAGATAAAGAAACCACAGAAGGGGGTCTCATCTTCCTCCCACTGGCTCGTGTTCGGGGAGGTGTGCAGAAGGGTGGACCACTTGCCGCCTGGGGAGTGATCTCAGGGGTGGCTCTTGACTCTCCTTTCCCATTGCACCATCACGGCACAAGTTCTCCATGTCCTAGGGAGAGGTACTCACCATCTCGTGCAAAGTCTGAGGCTCCTCTCCTTCCTGAGAGGAGTCTGAGGAGCTCTTGGACCAGGACTCATGGATGGCACCCAGATTCTCATCTAGGACCTTCAGGTTCAGGGTGGGCAGACCCTTGCTGTTGGTTAGTGTCAAGAAGTTTTCTGGCCTCTAAAAAAAGATGGAGAGAGACTTTGAGCCGGCCCTTCCATGGTGCCTGCTACACTCCAAGCTGTTCAGACCCTGCACACCCATCCTCTGGATACTCCCCACCACCTGCTCCTTGTTTCCTGGGTCCCAGCTGCAATGTCCTGCAGTTCCTCCACAAGCCAAGCGATTCCCTGCCTCAAGACCTTTGCATCTGATTTTTTTCTCTACCCGGGGATCCTTATACAACTGCCCCCTTACCATCATTTGAGTCCTGCCCTTGTATAATCTTTTTGGAGAAGCGCTGCCCCTTGACACAGAGACCACACCCCAACTCCAAAGTAACCTCATCATCCATAGCATACCATTTCACAGTGTTCACAGTAATTACTCTATGGAAACACCTTTCAAACAGTGGGGTTGTGTATGGACTCTCTCTGCTTTCTCCCAGTATTTACACCAAGACTGCAGTTCATGTAAGCAAGGGCACTCTTCTCCCCAGCGTCTTGTTTACTGCAGGGGCTCCATGAGTACGCCACCGATGGCCTCCGTGCCAATATGGTGATAACTTCTAAAATGCCCCGCTCTTTTCACCCCGTTTCCAGCTCACCTCTCTCATCACTCAGCTCCATCACCCCCTTAGAGAGCCTCTCTGTGCACCTTGGCAAACCCTTCTTCATGGCTGTCTCTCATCTCCCTCCTCCTCCCTAGGGAAAGAAGCCCTCTGTCTCTGTCCTTTCTTGATCAAAGGTTTTCTGAGTTCTTCCAGTCCAGCATTGGCTACCTATACTTCACATGGCTCTGTGGCTCTAGGCTAGTTTGCTATTTTTGTTTCCCTAACAAAACTTTATGTTCCCTAGACTTAGGGGCATGTGTCAGCGGGTCTTTTTGTGGGGGTCATCATTTTAAAACTTGTTTGGGGGCTGGTGAAATGGCTGCACAGGTAAAGGTGCTTGCTGCCAAGCCTGACTATGTGAGTTTGATCCCTGGGGCCCAGGCAGTGGAAGGAGAGAGCCATCTCCTGTGTGTTGTCCCTTGGCCTCCCCGCAGGCACCGTAGTACGTGTTGGCATGTACACGCAGAGACACAAAATAGAATTGAAAACTTATGTGAAATCCACTGTTAGTTCTCGCACCTGCCCTTTTGTTTAAAGCAGCACACGGTCTCAGGGTTTGCAGAGGCCTCAAATGTGATGCAATCTCACCCCGCATTAACTGTTGGAATCCTCACTCTGTTTCAGTGCAGATGTGTTTATTCACTGGGTGGTGTTTTACTAGATGCAAGGGGAGCCCTGGGCACAAACAGGAGGAACATGCATAGGGCGCCGGGTGCCTCAGTGTCTGTCTTTAAACAACCCGAGCGAGGAGGGTGTGGGTGTACCTCACTAAGTGGACATTGCCTGAAAACTGACACACCTGGACTACATAAATTGAGATGAAGATGCTGACACTGAGGTGTTTCCGATGATTTCTTTATGTGCCATACAATTTGGGCTTCAGAAATGCATTATAACACAGGCTTTTACATGCTTATGTCAGCAGGGTTAGGAGTCGCCCACACATACATGGAATCACCTGGGACATTCTATGCTCCAATTTTGAAGGGGTGTAAGGTAGGCATTTCCTAAGAGAAACATCTGTAAATGTTCTTGGCATGGAAGAGGGATGCATTTGATGACCCGAGGCTGACTTCAGCCGGCCATTTATATCTGTGAACACCAGCCCAGCTTCCTGCCTCATCTTCTCCCGTTTGAAGAGGGGCAGGAATCACTTAGTTGTTTCCCAAATGACATGGAGTGGAAGTGCCCAGGGCAGCATCCGACTCACACAGTTTGGGGTTTTCTAAGTGAGACTTTGGATAAGGAAAAGCACCACATCTCTCTCCTATTCAGAAATTTTGAGCACTTGGGGATGGGAAGCACTGCCTGCTCTTTCAGAGGATCTGGGTTCTAGTCCCAGTTCCCAGCACCCATGATCTGTTACCCTCGTCAAGCTTCTGTGGACACGAGGCATGCATGTGGTATACAGGAACATTGCAGGCATAGTACTCAGACACAGAAACATATTTTTAAAATGCTGAACATCAGACTGACTACAGAGGGAGAACTATGTAATGCTTACTGGGTAAAATGATGGGTGGGTGGTAGAAAAATAGGAACAACCAGCCTAGCCAGGGCAAAAACCACCTCCCTAGTGACCAGGTGGGTCCAAGCTCGGGTGAGATGCTGATTCAGGACCTGTAATGACATTTCTCCTCATTTCCAGGCAGAAAGCCAATCTCAATGCCCTGGATTTCATAGACTGCCATCTAATCCAGTTAGAGGAGGAAGTAGGAGTAATGAAATCAAAAGAGGTCTCCAGAGGTGGCCCAGTCATTACAGAAAGCAGGGACAATTGCCGAGGGAGTCCCCTCCCCCACTGCCTGTCTCCCTGCCGTCCATCCTGTATGGGCCCAGGACCAGCTAGGCCAACTCAGTGATGTGGAACTGATGTTTTTGGGTCAGTTACACACGCACTAGATTATTTTTAGGTAGATTCTGATACTATGTATAAATTCCTTTAATTTCATAAATTCCTTTAATTTCATTAGAAAGATAGATTTTAAAAAAAAATGAGACTTTCAGTCCAAAACAGTGAATTCATCCCACCAGTCTCTGCTAGGCAGGGGAGTAACCTGAGGGGGAGGGAGGGAAAGCAGGCCGAGTAGGAGGGGGCAGGAGAGAGCAAAGCCTTGCGGATGAATTGCCTATTCAGGCCTTGCTTAGCTCTGCTAACCCCATTCTCTTCTGTATGCTCACCCCACAAGCTTGTTTATTTGCTTTTCTATTTGGCAGGCCCGCTGGGGCAGCATGGGGCTGACAAGTGGCCCCTCAGTCTGTAGCTCCGTGGTGGTAGCAGATCTTGCTTCATTAGGACTGTAATTGGAGACTGACTTTGAAAGCTCAAAGAGATGCGTGGCCATGCACCAGCTCAGACTCAGCGTCCGGCCCAGCCCCTGTGCTGTACCAGCTGCCGCACACCGTGTGAGAAACGTGGTGGGAGAAGATGTCCAGCAGGCACTCTAAACCAGCAGAGTGGGGTCTGTCGAGACAGCCTGGGCCAATGGCATTCCAAGCTGTCTCCCCGCCCTTCCCTCAATACTTCTGCCGCCCTCCTCCCTGTACTCAGTCCCCTACATCCCTGGTCATGCAAAATGCAACAGCTCCTGCTTGCCCTGGCAATTACAAAGCAACCCGGCTGCAGCTGCTGTCCCCGGTGCTGAAAGTGCCCGCCTTCCGGCCAGCCCGCCTCTCGCCCCGCCTTGAGCTTTCTTGGTGGGGAACACAGGCTCTTAATTCAATTAGCTGGCCCTGAACCCTCCCCAGGGAGCCTGGAGCGGAAACTGACAAATTCTGTTTAACAAAGACATTTGTCCCCCGCCCCGCCAGGCTGAGGGCTCTGCTCTCCTGTATCCCGCTCATTAGGTATCTAACAAAGTGCGTCCCAAGAAATCTGCTTCCAATCGCTAGTAATTCAGGAGGCCTGATACAATTTTCTCCCTGATAAGGGTGGCTCGCCCGCTGGCAAGCACCATAATGAGCCCTGTGCAGTGGCTCCCCGATCAGTCACTGCTTTGTCATTTCCTGTGGGCTGCAGTTGTAGGTTCTTATCTCTCCAGCTGTAGGCGAGGCTCAGACAGCAAGCCCTTCAAGAGGGCTTGCCTCCCGTGCATCTGGCCAGCCTCATTTACGGCATCCTGAGGGCTGGCTGCTGCAGCTGTGACAGGTTTGAGCATCTGGGTTGCTCTCCCAGCCCAAAAGGGTCCACGTGTTAATATTCGATAGACCCATGGTATATCTCTCAGGAAATGGTGTCAACCCCTGCCCCTCCCCAAAGCAGGGGTTAGGATGAGGGGCGGTAAAGATTTTTATTTTTTTAATTCTGTTGGGGTGTTAGGATTAAATACAGCCCCGCCTGTGGCTTAGTGGATGGACTGTGGGTTCATTCACTCTTTATTCATGGAAAAATGAAATCATTTTCCCCTACCTTCATCAGTCCCTGTTCACATCTGAACAGAACCATGTATTACTGCTGCTCAAAGATTTTCTCTAGTTGCCCATCATCTTTTGGCAAAGTCCAAACCTTGTGTCCTGGCACCTACCCAGTCCTTCCACAATCTGGGTCCCACTTACAAGTCCAAGGTCACTGCTTACTACAGCATCCGTATGTCCCACAAGCCTCCTTGTTATTACATATGCTGATCTCTGATACATCACCGCTTTCCCAACTTCCAAGCCACTGTCTGAAGTATAACTCAAGCCATGCCTCTGGGTGACACTTCTCCTGGGCTTATATTCTCAGTGTAGCACCTCACGCTAGATGCACAGGTGGTGATAATCTGTTGGAGTGCTTTCTTGTTGGGTGCAGGTCAGGGCCCAAATAAGCAGGACCCCAGTGAACTTACAGATGCATGATCTTGTCTGGGCCAGGGATCCATCTGGCTTGGCTGGAGGACTAGGCTAGAGTGAGTGGCCTGGTCTTGAGTTGGGGAGAATCCCTAGGCCAGTTCTCACTTCCTTAGAAGTTTTTCTAGAAGCATCTACTCTATTTCTTTCTCTCATGTCTTCGACCAACAAATTATGCATTGAGCTTGTTAAAAAAAAAAAAAAAGCAGCAAGAGGATGTTTTAAACTTCAGCCTGCCCAGCATCCTGACTTGGGACACTATTTCTTGAGAGGCATCTCAGGCTCATGTTCTCAAGGAAGCAATGGTCCACAGGCTTGTGATAAATTTGAGATGAGCCTGAATTACTTGCACCAGAAGCAGCCTGGATCTTGGTCCCAGACCCAGAAGCAGGCCTTTATGTATCTATTCCATATGTATGTATGTATGTATGTATTCCATAGCCCCAGCTCTAGTCAGGGAAATTCTATAAATTTAACTCTGGAGAGAGAGAGATAATCACCTTTTAAAAATTTTTCCTTCTCAGAAAATTTTCTGTGAGAGCTGAGAGATGACTCAGGAGGTAAAGGTCTTTGCCATCAA